TTGCCCAAGAACACAACACAATGTCCCCGGCCAGGGCTCGAACCCGGACCGCTCGATCCGGAGACGAGCGCACTAACCATGAGGCCACCACGCCTCCCGATTAAGCATTAACTGTACCTTAATTCGACCAAAAAGCTGACCATATCAGGTCAGTGACTTCATATTCTTCCTACCTTCCTTTTACCCTGGGGATTCCATTCTAGGGCCAGGTTGTGTCAGATGTTGGTTTCCTCGATGTGTGGCCAATCCAATTCCATTTGCGCCTGGCGATCTCTACTGGAATACAGTCTTGCTCTGTTCTTTCCCAAAGTTCCCTGTTGCTGATTTTCTCTGGCCAGTATATCTTAAGGATCCTTCTCAGACATTGATTAGTGAAGATTTGCAGCTTCTTTGATATGGATCTTGTGATTCTCCAGGTCTCGGAACCATGTAGAAGAACTGACTTAACATTGGTAGTAAAGATTCGTAGCTTGGATTTTGTGGATATTGATGTTGAGTTCCACACTGGTCTTAGGGTTTAAAGGCCTGCCTGGCTTTGCCTATCCTGCTTTTTATATCTTCATCCGCTCTTCCGTCTAATGTGACGACACTCCCTAAATACGTAAAGCTCTGAACGTCCTCCAGTTCCTCATGTTTCAGCTTGATCTTCTCACGCTGTTTGCTACTGGCTCTCATGACTTCGGTCTTTTCTTTGCTGATCCTGAGGCCCGTTTTCTCTGCACCCAGTGCCGGATGGTCACTCTTGATTTGCATATTTTGCAGTTTCTCGGATAAATGACATTTGTCATGTGCATAGTCCAGGTCATGGAGTTGAGTCGTAAGTGTCCATTGTACACCTCCCACCATACATCATTCTGCCTAACAATCCCCTACTTTGCCTGTTTCCACCTCCTACGACGTGGACGTGGAGATTGGACTTTAGGAGGCAAAAATAAAGGGAAAGGAAAACGTCAACGTAAGGGAAACAAATTATTCAATGTACTGTACAAAATAAGTTACTGATGAAGTCAGTTTTGCTTTTTCAGCGATAGCAGAAGTGTTCAGCAACAGGGCAACAGCTTATTACCGTCTCGGTAAGATCTTGATCTTGTCAGTTTTAATTGTTGCTTTCTTTGCGTTTAGCAGATGATATTGGGAAATTAACTTTCCGGGGACAGCTATCAGCTCTTATAGTTCACCACTATTCGTATTGGTTTAAATTGATCACGTGACGCGATAGTGTTCATCCGCGGAGAGACACTATTAGCCTATAGTGCCCGTCCGAGGAAAATACCCGGATGGCTAGTACTCGTCCGTAAAAATATTTCTGTAAACAAGCGGGCTTATAGAAAATAACCAATTGAATTTGTATGAAAAGAGTTTTTGTTTGTTTTCTTTTTCAGATTTTACATTCGGCTTCCACGGCTTTCTTCTAAAAAAGTTGAAAATAATTCAACATGATTTTTGAACTGGCGCGCGGAAGAAAATTTAGTGGTGAACAATAAAGACAATAGAGCGTTTATGCCTCGGAACTATCGGTCTGATAGTTGCCCCTTGGAAATTTGATGCTCTTAAAACTAGCATATTTGCTCCAAGAACATCAAATTTCCGCGGGGTAACTATCAGCCGATAGTTCCTCGACAGAAACACTCTATTGTTTAATAGAAATAAACGAGAAATAGATGCATAATTGTCTTTAATGTTCACCAGTAAATTTTCTGGTATTTTCCGCCTTGGTATTTTTCGCTAAGGTTTTCCTTTTTTTGGGTGAAACAAAACTTGTATGTATAGATACAATTCTTTATGTCAAATATTGGCCTGCAAAAACGCCGTAAAAATATAAGGAGTGTCCTCTCTTTACAATCTCAAACCTCTTTACGCTCGATTAATTGTTATTTCACCATGTCGTAGTTTATTGCGGTTTTAAGAAAGCTACTTCTTCGTGCTATCCTCAAACAGAAATCAACACTGTAGATATAAACTATTTTACTTCATCTAAAAAATGAAATAGGAATTTGCATTTCATGAGCGACTACTCTGAACGGGCACTATCGACTGATATTCACCCATGGTTATACCATCACCTGATAGTGCCCGCGTAAGATCATAATGTGTGACCCGAAGTATCGTACCAGTTTTACTCTTTCTCAGCAATAAACCTGATTAAAACGCTTACAGTTTTATTTTGCCATGCCCGGTGTTCGTTCCCATCACCCGATGATTCGAACTCTCCATTACACGCTCTTGAATATTTAAGTTATCGGAAGTCAAGTATAGTTCGACGATCAAAACAGATCTCTTCCGTGCCCCTAGATTGAGTCTGAACATTGAAAGAAAACATGCTCTTTTATACCTCTGGAACCTCGTGAGCTTTTATTGCATTTACGTATTCGCTACTTCTTCTACTCTGCATGAAATGTTTCTCTCAATTCTATAAATCAGGGAATTATCGCGAGGCCCTAAATGATGCAACTGCTGCCGTCATGTTGGAACAGACTTCGATTAAAGCTATAAAAACAGGTAAAATCCTTGACTCGACTGATTTATAAACATAAAGCCGACAGCTACCGAACAGAAATCTTCAAATGCAAATGACATTAATCTCTTTTTAATGATATTTCCCCTCATAAGCCTCCATTGCAAGCTTTTTCCAGTCCAATACCAAATTACGAATATGGCTTTTTACAAGAATAAATCAGGTTTTAGATGTTTCCTTCTGTGCACTGTAAATAGTATTTTTTTGACCTGATATTAAATAATTTATTTTAGGAGCAAGTGCCTGTGAGCATCTACATTGTTATGGAGACGCCATATCGTGGTGTGAGAAGGGATTGGCAGTATCCTTTGTAACATCAATTATTCATGTTCTTTGCCAGCTGTAAAAAGGAACTACCATGTTACCTTTAGGGATTCTAGTGAAAGGTTTTAAGAGAGAAATTACAAAAAGCTGTGTTCTCTCTGCCTTATATAGATTCTGCTAAAATCCCGCTAAGCATAATAACAGGGCTTCAAGAAGCCCAATAGCTGTGGGTATGGTAACTTCACGCTATTTACAAAAGTCGAAATGCTTTCAAAGTAAATTGTAATTGCAAAAACCTAAGGAAGCTTCTATCAAACCCCTTCTCCATTGTACAGTCTTGGGAGTATGAGTTGTTACTTCAAGGGGCAACTTGATTGAAATTCCCATCAGGAGAAACGAGGAACCATCTCCGACTTAAAGGAAGAATCGTTTTAGGAAGCAATATAGAGTTTGAAATTCAATTTTTACACCCTCAGTTGCTGGGTAACCCACAAAACAACTTAGACATCAAAGTGTGTAATTGTAAAAAACGTGAAATGTTGCTCTCTTCAATATTATTTATCTATACACTATTTCTAGGCTACCTTTTCTTCAGATCAAAAGAGCAGCCATTTTTCTAAAGGTTTACCAAGATGACTTTTCTGTGATTTTTTTCTTACACTGACTTTTACTTGAGGTCAAATCTCGTTTTACTGCAACGTGCCAAATTCTCATGCAAATTCCCTACAAAAAGTAGCCTTTGATTCTTACAGTCACGAAACAAGTCACTCACTGGATAACTAGGCCGTATACAGCATTCTTCGCCTGTTAGGTGTGCTAGTTTACATTAATTTCTACCCGTCCACGTTACTTACCAATTTTTAGTTTTGTTACATAGCAATTGATAGATTAGTGTTTCGTTAAGATATATATGTTGTTTACTGGCGAGGAGGTCCGTATAGTGAATCAAAGGCCCTATGTCTGGGCTTTCTCGTGTCACATGTGCAAAGAAATCCACTGCCAAACTAAACAAGTGTAATGCAAGCGTAACGCTAGATCATCTATACAGGATACATTTTCACCTCCGTTAATTTTACGAATAAAATTCGACGAGGGCCGATTCGACCCTTATTGTTAATTAATTTTTGTGATTTATACTTGTTTGCTTACTCTCGGAAAGTTTCTGTCAGTCGTTGCGAATCACTTGAAATCAGGCTTTTACACAGTAAATTAAATAGTAGAAAGCGAGGGAATTCATTACGTTTATTCTGCAGAAACTCTCTCAATTAAACCAAAGATCAGAGAAGTAACCTCGACTGAAATTGAGTCGTTTTTTAATGAAAATAGTAGGTCAAGAAAAACACAAGATGACGCGCCATTACTTTCCCGAGCTACAAACAACTCTCACAAATAAAGCACTTGTTTGAATTTACTTACAGTGACTTCCCTTGCCATTTTTAAGTGAATAGCGGTAGTCTTGTGTAGATTAATCGTCGATGGAAGTGTAAAAAGGGCAAAGGTTAACGATTACCGCTAGTTCACTCACGAAAATTGATCAGCACGACGATATCACCGATATGAAAACGTTACCGAGACCGTGGTCGGAGATAGGAATATCCGGACCGCGCTAAAAATTGAATCAGATTGCAGGATTCGCTACCTTGCCCTCTTGGAAAAAGATATAAATATAACTGTAAGTAATTGAACAAATTTCTGTGTATATATAACAATAGCCTCTATTTGGCGCGAAAATTTGTTCGGAAATTTGTCCACGGACATTATCGTTCCCGAGAAGCTAACATATAATGTCCGTTGACAAATATCCGAGCATATATTCCCGCCAAATGCAGGCTATTGTGTTTATTATCCTTCAAATATTTTTGTTAACATGCGCAGTTTTGAAAATTGGGGAACATCACTCGGATATTCCCCAAGCTGGGGGATATTCAGTCTCGTGACCCGTTTAGACCAATCGCGCCCGAGCGAAAATATATGATGGATTATAAATGTCAATATATTTTAATTATGTCATGTGCCTTAACCCTAAGCAGATTGACAAGACTAACAAGGCATTACTAGATTTACGAGCCAGGTGTGGTAGAGATCGAGTTAAATTACAAGAGGCAGAGAGCAATCCCGAAACTCACTCTGAGAAGGACCAGGTAAGTAATGCTAGAGGAAAATATATTATAGGCTTCAAAGGGGAGATTAGATAATGCCGGACTTAATATATGTTAAAAGTAAAGGTTTTTTAAAACTTACATACTTTTACTTCTTTGTCTTATATTTATACTTATGCAAAAATTTTTATCTTCACTTTTAAGCTTGATAAGGACAGAAGTTCGGTCGAAACGTCGCGCTCTTTTACCGTTAGTTTTCACTTCAAATTAATATCTGTTGTTCAAAAAACCTCTTGTGTGAAGACACGCGGTGACAGAAGAGCTAGCAGGAGTTGTTAACGTAACCAGTGACTCGAGCAAAGATACTTTACATTTTGAGAATTGAAATAAGACGAAATAGTAAAAATTATCTTTGTGTTTCTATCCGGTTTCTCTATAAATATAGAAGTATTCTATCACTAATGCTGTTCTCTTATTGACTAAGCTGCTTAATATCTATTCTATTATAGAATGCGAATACTCTTGCAACCTGTGGTTGCTAACAAAATGGCGGCCGCTTCGTTACGTTTTCGGAGTCTTTGTGAAGAGAACTTAGCTAATTATCCATTCTGCGATACGTGCGTGCTCATCTTTACGTCAATTTGCAAGTGAGAAGATGTATGAAGATGTATGAAGATCTTTTGCAACACTCCGCTCCGCATCCCGTTTTCACTTCTCTTCTCTCGCTGTTTGGAAATGCGATAAGGCATATTTGCTATTTGATTTTAAAATTAAGACCACCCCTCTCCCCCCCCCTTATTTCAATGATGGAAAAATGGTGCGCTTCGGGCCTAGCCCCAGTTCATCCTTGATTTGGGTGGGGGGGGGGGTTGTCTTTCGGGGGCGAGGGGTGGCTTCATCTCTTATTTTATTTTGTCCAAAATTGTACATTGTTGCCTGCCGTTTCTTGACTATTTTCTCTTGTAACGAGTACATATATATCATTTTACCTTGTGTTTACTATTTACATCTTTTTTACTTTTTTTGTAATTGAAACATTAGACTTCAAAGAAAACCATCGCAATCCAAGGGCAAAATTAATACACTTTGATTTTTTTTGATTTATTTTATTATGTCTGCTAACACTTTAGATCACTTAACAACACTTTTGCTGCTACTTTACACTAAAACAATAACATAAAAGCTAAATACACTACTTACAATACAACAGAGCTACTTACATAATTGCAGCGCAAGACAGCTTCTTTACCCTACTTACTTTTAACAATTATTTAAAGGCACGTTAAATTCGTAACAGCAATACACGTATTTTTTAAATTGCATATCGTTTAATTAATCTAACAATTATTCTAGCAATATATCACCCTACTCTTTAAAACGACATATCCTTGTATCAATCTAATGCCTTTTAAAAGAATTAACAGGACAGAAAATGAGAAGAAGCATCATAAAGGAATACCAGAAACTTGATTTTCTATTCTTAACTTGTAATTTACTTTTGTAGTAAATTCAATCCAGGCAAGATTCCTCTCATTTACCTGGTGGTACTGTAGATAATAGTTAGCATATAATAAACATAGATTCAATTTCCTTCCCAAACGCCTTACCAAACAATAATTCGTAGTTTTCCGGGGATATTGAGGTGTTATGCATCTCATTGAACCACTTCAACAGCCGATTGTGAAAAAAAGTTGTCGCACTACAGTTTTGAAATGTATGAGGAACTGAGTCAGGCTCACCACGGTAGAAACATCTATTATTGTGTGTAATTCCATAGAGAGTAAACTCTTTCTTCGTAGCGACAATACGATGGATTAGCTTAAAGTAAAATTCACTCAGTTGATTCTCTTTACAAATAGCCTTGAATAAATAAATGAATGAATGAATGGCTTTATTAAAGTGCCAATAGTATTTAGCTTAAAAAACTAATCGGGGACACTATTTACACAGTAAAATATACCTTAGCTACGTAAAGGAATAATGTATAAACTAAATAAATAAATGAATAAATAAATAAATGAAATATATGAACTTAGTAAGATATAAAAATTTTAGAAGATATCAAATATAAATATGTCTGGATTTATGAAAACCATGTTACAGACTTTGCACCAAAATAGCGGGCATGTTTTTGGAAAATCGGTCAGATAGTGTACATAAATAGGGCCATGTCGTACTGAGAGTGCTATCTACCTCGTGTACGCGTAACAGAGGGCATACCATGCCTACACAAGCCTTTGAAGTCGCTACAAATGAGTCGAACGAGCCAAACAAAGCTAAATTAGAGCTTAAATTGATCATTTGATTGGCGGTACCAATTTAGACAGGCTTAACCTCTGCGATTTCACCTAAATGACCTGACTATGTCTTTACTGTGGATTAAATTAGCCAATCGTTGCGACAAGAGTATGGTAAGTAGTCGAATCGGTTATTTACTTCTATATTTCAGCGAAAAAGTAGCCCTTACGTGACATTTAATGTCAATAATTCTGTCTGGATTCGCAACTGATAATCACTGATAATCTTGATACAGTTCTGTCCTAGAGCTAGCTTTCCATAAGGCTTATCGTAGCTCAGATAAAAGGAAATAACTCTCCTGTATGCCTTTTGAGGCAAGGAAGACTAAATTCACCGCCTTTTCGTTGAATCGTGAATTGAATAATTTAATTACGAGTGCTTTTAACATGAAATTGGAGTCTAAATCAACACGAACGTACAGATGTCAAAACCGCGGCGGAGAGCTGATCTATGACTTTCTAAAACCTGCATCGTCCTAAATGGACTGAACAAGAGCTTCCTACATCGAAAATCGATTGAACTTCAACCAAACTAGGCCATAATTATGAGTTAGCGAACACTCAACATGTTGTCGTTACGTCAATTATCGCCNATGAGCTAGATCTAAAAATTGCCAAAGGAGTGGGAGACAGGGCTGGAGAAGGAAGGTCGTATGCTAATCTTGGCAACGCTTATGACAGTCTGGGAGATTTCAGAACAGCCATCGGGTACCATGAACGTCATCTTAAAATTGCCAAAGAAGTGGGAGAAAGGGCTGGAGAAGGAAAGGCGTATGGTCATCTTGGCAACGCTTATTACAGTCTGGGAGATTTCAAAAAAGCCATCGAGTACCATGAACGTCATCTAAATATTGCCAAAGAAGTGGGAGACAGGGCTGGAGAAGGAAGGTCGTATGCTAATCTTGGCAATGCTTATCGCAGTCTGGGAAATTTCAAAAAAGCCATGGAGTACCATGAGCTAGATCTAAAAATTGCCAAAGGAGTGGGAGACAGGGCTGGAGAAGGAAGGTCGTATGCTAATCTTGGCAACGCTTATGACAGTCTGGGAGATTTCAGAACAGCCATCGGGTACCATGAACGTCATCTTAAAATTGCCAAAGAAGTGGGAGAAAGGGCTGGAGAAGGAAAGGCGTATGGTCATCTTGGCAACGCTTATTACAGTCTGGGAGATTTCAAAAAAGCCATCGAGTACCATGAACGTCATCTAAATATTGCCAAAGAAGTGGGAGACAGGGCTGGAGAAGGAAGGTCGTATGCTAATCTTGGCAATGCTTATCGCAGTCTGGGAAATTTCAAAAAAGCCATGGAGTACCATGAGCTAGATCTAAAAATTGCCAAAGGAGTGGGAGACAGGGCTGGAGAAGGAAGGTCGTATGCTAATCTTGGCAACGCTTATGACAGTCTGGGAGATTTCAGAACAGCCATCGGGTACCATGAACGTCATCTTAAAATTGCCAAAGAAGTGGGAGAAAGGGCTGGAGAAGGAAAGGCGTATGGTCATCTTGGCAACGCTTATTACAGTCTGGGAGATTTCAAAAAAGCCATCGAGTACCATGAACGTCATCTAAATATTGCCAAAGAAGTGGGAGACAGGGCTGGAGAAGGAAGGTCGTATGCTAATCTTGGCAATGCTTATCGCAGTCTGGGAAATTTCAAAAAAGCCATGGAGTACCATGAGCTAGATCTAAAAATTGCCAAAGGAGTGGGAGACAGGGCTGGAGAAGGAAGGTCGTATGCTAATCTTGGCAACGCTTATGACAGTCTGGGAGATTTCAGAACAGCCATCGGGTACCATGAACGTCATCTTAAAATTGCCAAAGAAGTGGGAGAAAGGGCTGGAGAAGGAAAGGCGTATGGTCATCTTGGCAACGCTTATTACAGTCTGGGAGATTTCAAAAAAGCCATCGAGTACCATGAACGTCATCTAAATATTGCCAAAGAAGTGGGAGACAGGGCTGGAGAAGGAAGGTCGTATGCTAATCTTGGCAATGCTTATCGCAGTCTGGGAAATTTCAAAAAAGCCATGGAGTACCATGAGCTAGATCTAAAAATTGCCAAAGGAGTGGGAGACAGGGCTGGAGAAGGAAGGTCGTATGCTAATCTTGGCAACGCTTATGACAGTCTGGGAGATTTCAGAACAGCCATCGGGTACCATGAACGTCATCTTAAAATTGCCAAAGAAGTGGGAGAAAGGGCTGGAGAAGGAAAGGCGTATGGTCATCTTGGCAACGCTTATTACAGTCTGGGAGATTTCAAAAAAGCCATCGAGTACCATGAACGTCATCTAAATATTGCCAAAGAAGTGGGAGACAGGGCTGGAGAAGGAAGGTCGTATGCTAATCTTGGCAATGCTTATCGCAGTCTGGGAAATTTCAAAAAAGCCATGGAGTACCATGAGCTAGATCTAAAAATTGCCAAAGGAGTGGGAGACAGGGCTGGAGAAGGAAGGTCGTATGCTAATCTTGGCAACGCTTATGACAGTCTGGGAGATTTCAGAACAGCCATCGGGTACCATGAACGTCATCTTAAAATTGCCAAAGAAGTGGGAGAAAGGGCTGGAGAAGGAAAGGCGTATGGTCATCTTGGCAACGCTTATTACAGTCTGGGAGATTTCAAAAAAGCCATCGAGTACCATGAACGTCATCTAAATATTGCCAAAGAAGTGGGAGACAGGGCTGGAGAAGGAAGGTCGTATGCTAATCTTGGCAATGCTTATCGCAGTCTGGGAAATTTCAAAAAAGCCATGGAGTACCATGAGCTAGATCTAAAAATTGCCAAAGGAGTGGGAGACAGGGCTGGAGAAGGAAGGTCGTATGCTAATCTTGGCAACGCTTATGACAGTCTGGGAGATTTCAGAACAGCCATCGGGTACCATGAACGTCATCTTAAAATTGCCAAAGAAGTGGGAGAAAGGGCTGGAGAAGGAAAGGCGTATGGTCATCTTGGCAACGCTTATTACAGTCTGGGAGATTTCAAAAAAGCCATCGAGTACCATGAACGTCATCTAAATATTGCCAAAGAAGTGGGAGACAGGGCTGGAGAAGGAAGGTCGTATGCTAATCTTGGCAATGCTTATCGCAGTCTGGGAAATTTCAAAAAAGCCATGGAGTACCATGAGCTAGATCTAAAAATTGCCAAAGGAGTGGGAGACAGGGCTGGAGAAGGAAGGTCGTATGCTAATCTTGGCAACGCTTATGACAGTCTGGGAGATTTCAGAACAGCCATCGGGTACCATGAACGTCATCTTAAAATTGCCAAAGAAGTGGGAGAAAGGGCTGGAGAAGGAAAGGCGTATGGTCATCTTGGCAACGCTTATTACAGTCTGGGAGATTTCAAAAAAGCCATCGAGTACCATGAACGTCATCTAAATATTGCCAAAGAAGTGGGAGACAGGGCTGGAGAAGGAAGGTCGTATGCTAATCTTGGCAATGCTTATCGCAGTCTGGGAAATTTCAAAAAAGCCATGGAGTACCATGAGCTAGATCTAAAAATTGCCAAAGGAGTGGGAGACAGGGCTGGAGAAGGAAGGTCGTATGCTAATCTTGGCAACGCTTATGACAGTCTGGGAGATTTCAGAACAGCCATCGGGTACCATGAACGTCATCTTAAAATTGCCAAAGAAGTGGGAGAAAGGGCTGGAGAAGGAAAGGCGTATGGTCATCTTGGCAACGCTTATTACAGTCTGGGAGATTTCAAAAAAGCCATCGAGTACCATGAACGTCATCTAAATATTGCCAAAGAAGTGGGAGACAGGGCTGGAGAAGGAAGGTCGTATGCTAATCTTGGCAATGCTTATCGCAGTCTGGGAAATTTCAAAAAAGCCATGGAGTACCATGAGCTAGATCTAAAAATTGCCAAAGGAGTGGGAGACAGGGCTGGAGAAGGAAGGTCGTATGCTAATCTTGGCAACGCTTATGACAGTCTGGGAGATTTCAGAACAGCCATCGGGTACCATGAACGTCATCTTAAAATTGCCAAAGAAGTGGGAGAAAGGGCTGGAGAAGGAAAGGCGTATGGTCATCTTGGCAACGCTTATTACAGTCTGGGAGATTTCAAAAAAGCCATCGAGTACCATGAACGTCATCTAAATATTGCCAAAGAAGTGGGAGACAGGGCTGGAGAAGGAAGGTCGTATGCTAATCTTGGCAATGCTTATCGCAGTCTGGGAAATTTCAAAAAAGCCATGGAGTACCATGAGCTAGATCTAAAAATTGCCAAAGGAGTGGGAGACAGGGCTGGAGAAGGAAGGTCGTATGCTAATCTTGGCAACGCTTATGACAGTCTGGGAGATTTCAGAACAGCCATCGGGTACCATGAACGTCATCTTAAAATTGCCAAAGAAGTGGGAGAAAGGGCTGGAGAAGGAAAGGCGTATGGTCATCTTGGCAACGCTTATTACAGTCTGGGAGATTTCAAAAAAGCCATCGAGTACCATGAACGTCATCTAAATATTGCCAAAGAAGTGGGAGACAGGGCTGGAGAAGGAAGGTCGTATGCTAATCTTGGCAATGCTTATCGCAGTCTGGGAAATTTCAAAAAAGCCATGGAGTACCATGAGCTAGATCTAAAAATTGCCAAAGGAGTGGGAGACAGGGCTGGAGAAGGAAGGTCGTATGCTAATCTTGGCAACGCTTATGACAGTCTGGGAGATTTCAGAACAGCCATCGGGTACCATGAACGTCATCTTAAAATTGCCAAAGAAGTGGGAGAAAGGGCTGGAGAAGGAAAGGCGTATGGTCATCTTGGCAACGCTTATTACAGTCTGGGAGATTTCAAAAAAGCCATCGAGTACCATGAACGTCATCTAAATATTGCCAAAGAAGTGGGAGACAGGGCTGGAGAAGGAAGGTCGTATGCTAATCTTGGCAATGCTTATCGCAGTCTGGGAAATTTCAAAAAAGCCATGGAGTACCATGAGCTAGATCTAAAAATTGCCAAAGGAGTGGGAGACAGGGCTGGAGAAGGAAGGTCGTATGCTAATCTTGGCAACGCTTATGACAGTCTGGGAGATTTCAGAACAGCCATCGGGTACCATGAACGTCATCTTAAAATTGCCAAAGAAGTGGGAGAAAGGGCTGGAGAAGGAAAGGCGTATGGTCATCTTGGCAACGCTTATTACAGTCTGGGAGATTTCAAAAAAGCCATCGAGTACCATGAACGTCATCTAAATATTGCCAAAGAAGTGGGAGACAGGGCTGGAGAAGGAGTGTCGTATGCTAATCTTGGCAACGCTTATCACAGTCTGGGAGATTTCAAAAAAGCCATCAAGTACCATGAACGTTACCTAAAAATTGCCAAAGAAGTAGAAGACAGGGCTGGAGAGGGAAAGTCGTATGCTAATCTTGGCAATGCTTATTACCGTGTGGGAAATTTCAAAAAAGCCATGGAGTACCACGAGCTAGATCTAAATATTGCCAACGAAGTGGGAGACAGGGCTGCAGAAGGAAGGTCGTATGCTAATCTTGGCAACGCTTATGACAGTCTGGGAGATTTCAAAACAGCCATCGGGTACCATGAACGTCATCTTAAAATTGCCAAAGAAGTGGGAGACAGGGCTGGAGAAGGAGTGTCGTATGCTAATCTTGGCAACGCTTACAGCAATCTGGGAGATTTCAAAAAAGCCATCGAGTACCATGAACTAGATCTAAAAATTGCCAAAGAAGTGGGAGACAGGGCTGGAGAAGGAGTGACGTATGGTAATCTTGGCTACGCTTATTGTAGTCTGGGAGATTTCAAAAAAGCCATCGAATACCATGAACGTCATCTAAAAATTACCAAAGAAGTGGGAGACAGGGCTGGAGAAGGAAAGTCGTATGCTAATCTTGGCATCGCTTATTGCCGTGTGGGAAATTTCAAAAAAGCCATGGAGTACCATGAGCTAGATCTAAAAATTGCCAAAGAAGTGGGAGACAGGGCTGGAGAGGGAAAGTCGTATGCTAATCTTGGCAACGCTTGTGACAGTCTGGGAGATTTCAAAACAGCCATCGGGTACCATGAACTAGATCTAAAAATTGCCAAAGAAGTGGGAGACAGGGCTGGAGAAGGAGTGACGTATGGTAATCTTGGCCACGCTTATCACAGTCTGGGAGATTTCAAAAAAGCCATCGAATACTATGAACGTCATCTAAAAATTGCCAAAGAAGTGGGAGACAGGGCTGGAGAAGGAAGATCATATGGTAGTCTTGGCAACGCTTATTACAGTCTGGGAGATTTCAAAAAAGCCATCGCGTACCATGAGCTAGATCTAAAAATTGCCAAAGAAGTGGGAGACAGGGCTGGAGAAGGAAGGTCGTATGCTAATCTTGGCAGGGCTTACCGCAGTCTGGGAGATTTCAAGAGAGCCATCGAGTACCATGAACGTTGTCTAAAATTTGCCAAAGAAGTGGGAGACAGGGCTGGAGAAGGAAGGTCGTATGGTAATCTTGGCAACGTTTATGATAATCTGGGAGATTTCAAAACAGCCATCAAATACCATGAACTAGATCTAAAAATTGCCAAAGAAGTGCGAGACAGGGCTGGAGAAGGAACGTCGTATTCTAACCTTGGCAACGCTTATTACAGTCTGGGAGATTTCAAAAAAGCCATCGAGTACCATGAACGTAGTCTAAAAATTGCCAAAGAAGTGGGAGACAAGGTTGGAGAAGGAGGGTCGTATTGTAATCTTGGTGCTTGCTTTGAATTTCAATGTTCTCTGAAGAAGGCCCTTGATTGTTATCATTCTAGCGTGCGATTGTTCAATGATCTTAGGCAGGATCTACAAGGTAAAGATGAGTGGAAAATTAGCTACCGCAATGTTAATAATGTGGTTTATACCAGATTATGGCGTCTGATTTTAAACCAAGGTGACGTAGTTGAGGCTTTGTTTACTGTCGAGCAAGGACGTGCACAAGCTCTAAGAGATCTTATGAATTCAAAGTACGAAACTAAAGCACCACATACCGGGGAAAAAGTGACCTACAACACATTAAGTTGCCTCCCTTCAGATACAGTCTTCATGGCAGTTCACGAAAGAGAAATTATTTTCTGGATTATTCAAAATGGAAAAGATGTTCAATTAAGAAGAAAACAAGTCAGTGATAATAGTTCGAAGGAAAATGCCAGCAGATTGTTGGAGTCTTTAACTCACAATGCTCGTGACAAAATTGGTGTCAGTAGAGGTGTGAGATGCGAGGATCGTTCATTGGATAGGAAAAGCGGAGGAGACCTGTCAAAGAAGGGGTATCAAACTATATCCCAACTAACGCACTCAGATACCAATCCTTTAAGAACATTGTATGACGTCATCATTAGCCCCATCAAAGACTTGATTGATGGCAACGAACTGATGTTTGTTCCCGAAGGTCCATTGTGCCTGGCTCCTTATGCTGCATTCATGGATTCTAATTCAAAGTACTTGAGCGAGTCTTTCAGAATCCGGGTCATTCCGTCATTGACTAGTTTGAAATTGATCAAAGATAGTTCACCAGATTACCACAAGAAGTCTGGGGCGCTGGTCGTGGGTGATCCGTGCTTAGAAGAAGTTGCAACTGGTTATCCGGAATTAATGTTAGAAGAGCTGCCATTTGCAAAGATAGAAGTAGAGACGATTGGGAAAATACTCAACACTGCTCCCCTCACTGGGAAAGATGCCACAAAAGCTAAAGTGTTGAGAGCACTTTCCTCAGTTCGTTTGGTGCACATTGCAGCACATGGTAGACTGGAAACGGGAGAAATTGCTTTGGCGCCAAACCCTACACCAGCATCCCGGAACCCTGGTAAGGAAGACTTCTTGCTAACAATGAGTGATGTGATGGGAGTTCAAATGCGAGCAGGACTGGTTGTGCTAAGTTGTTGCCATAGTGGCCGTGGTGAGATTAAGGCTGAGGGTGTGGTTGGCATTGCACGA